AATTCTTCAAGAGATGGGAATACCAGACCACCTGACCTGCCTCCTGAGAAAACTGTCTGCAGGTCAAGAAGCAATAGTTAGAGCCAGACGTGGAACAATGGACTGATTCCAAATTGGGAAAGGAGTACATCAAGGCTGTATATTGTCAACCTGTTTATTTAACTCCTATGCAGAGCACATCATGTGAAATGCCAGGCTGGATGAAGCACAAGCTGAATCAAGATTGCCAGGAGAAATATCAATAATCTCAGGTATGCAGATGACACCACCCTTATGGCAGAAAATGAAAGGAACTAAAAAGCCTCTTGAAGAAAGTGAAAGAGAAGAGTGAAAAAGCTGCCTTAAAACTCATTCAAAAAACTGAGATTATGGCATCTGTTTCCATCACTTCATGGCAAATAGATGGGGAAACATGAAAACAGTGACAGACTTTATTTTCTTGGGCTCCAAATCACTGCAGATGGTGAGTGCAGCCATGAAATTAAAAGATACTTGCTCACTGGAAAAAAAACTTTGACCAACCTAGACAGCATATTAAAAAGCAGAGATATCACTTAGCCAACAAAGGTCTGTTCAGTCAAAGCTATGGTTTTTCCAGTCGTCATGTATGAATGTGAGAGTTGAACTGTAGAGAAAGCTGAGTGCCAAAGAATTGATGTTTTTGAACTGTGGTGGTGGAGAAGACTCTTGAGAGCCCCTTGGACTGCAAGGAGATCAAACCTGTCAATCCTAAAGAAATCAACCCTGAATATTCATTGGAAGGGCTGATGCTGAAGCTGATGCTCCAATACTTTGGCCACCTGATGCAAAGAACTGACTCATTTGAAAAGACCCTGAAGCTGGGAAAGTTTGAAGGCAGGAGGAAAAGGGGATGTCAGAGGATAAGATGGCTGGATGACATCACTGACATGATGGACATGAGTTTGAGCAAGCTCTGGGAGTTGGTGATGAACAAGGAATCTTTCAGTTATGCTGTAGTCCATGGGGTTTCAAAGAGTCGGACATGACTGAGCAACTGAAATGAACTGAACTGATAGATCACTTAGAGCCAAGGAAGGCTGCAAAGCAGGAGATGGGAACCTAGCCAAGGTGAATAGGAGGAATGGAGGCAGAAATTATGCAAGAAAGAATCCATGAATGTGTTGGAAATTATCATTCATTCATTTATTTTAAAATGTTATAGGCCAAGATGTATGCTAGAGTCATAGATATCCATTCATTCATTCAATAAAAATTTAATGAGCACCTACTATGTACTATTAGGTACATTTCTACAGTACTAGAGCCTACTGTATTAACATACTATCCATTTGTTCACATCTTGTTTTAAAATTTACTTATTTTTAATTGGAAGATAATTGTTTTACAACATTGTGTTGGTCTCTGCCATACATCAACATGAATCAGCTGTAGGTATACGAATGTCCCTCCCTCCTGAACCTTCCTCCCACCTCCTACCCCTTCTCACCTCTCTAGGTTGTCACAGAGCACCAGGTTTGAGTTCCCTGCATCATACAACACATTCCCACTGGCTATCTATTTTATACATGGTAATATGTGTTTCAATGCTATTCTTTCTATTCATCCCACCCTCTCCTTCCCCCACTGTGTCCACCAGGCTGTTCTCTATTTCTGCATCTCCATTGTTGCCTTCCAAATAGGTTCATCGGTACCAGCTTTCTAGATTCCATATTTATGCATTGTTGTTGTTGTTCAGTTGCTAAGTTGTGTCCAACTATTTGCGATCCTATGGCATGCCAGTCTTCCCTATCCTTCACTATCTCCCAGAGTTTGCTCAAACTCATGTCCATTGATTTGGTGATATATGTGTTAATACGCAGCATTTGTTTTTCTCTTTCTGACTTACTTCAGTCTATATAATAGGCTCTAGATTCATCCACTTCATTAGAGCTGACTCAAATGTGTTCCTTTTTACAGCTGAGTAACATTCCATTGTATATATGCACCACAACTTCTTTATCCATTCATCTATCAATAGACATCTAGGTTGCTTCCATGTCCTAGATACCATAAATAGTGCTGCAATGAACATTGGGGTACATCTGTCTCTTTGAATTACAGTTTCCTCAGGGTATATGGCCAGTAGTGTAGATTATTGGGTCATATGGTAGTTTTATTCCTAGTTTTTTAAGGAATCTCCAAAAAATAAACTTAAATGGATTAAAGACTTAAATGTAAGTCCAGAAACTATAAAACTTTTAGAGGAAAACATAGGCGGTACACTCCTTGATGTAAAATACAGCAAGAACCTCTATGGCCCACTTCCTCTAGTAGTGGAAATAAAAATAAACAAATGGGATCTAATTAAACTTAAAATTTTTTGCACAGCAAAGGAAACTACAAACAAGGTGAAAAGACAACCCTCAGAACTGGAGAAAATAACAGCAAATGAAACAACTGACCAAAGATTAATCTCCAAAATATACAAGCAGCTCATGTAGCTCAATGTGTGAGTGTGTGCATTCTCTGTCATTTCAGTCGTGTCTGACTCTTTGCGACCCTACTGACTGTAGCCTACCAGGATTCTCAGTCTATGGGATTCTCCAGGCAAGAATACTGGAGTGGGTTGCCATAATCTCCTCCAGGGGATCTTCCCAACCTAGGGATAGAACCTACATCTCCTGCATTACAGGTGGATTCTTTACCACTAAATCACCAGAGAAGCCCTGTAGCTCAATACCAGAAAAACAAATAACCAAATCAAAAACTGGGCAGAAGACCTAAACAGACATTTCTCTAAAGAAGATGTATAGATGGCTAATAAACACATGAAAAAATGCTCAACATAGCTCATTATTAGAGAAATGCAAATCAAAACTACACTGAAGAATCACCTATGGTCAGAATGGCCATCATCAAAAAATCTACAATTAATGCTGGAAAGGATGTGGAGAAAGGGAACCCTCTTGCATGGACAGTAAGAAAGTTCATATCTTTATTTATTCTGTAGTTATTCATTGAGTGCCCACTTGGTCACAGGTAGCGTGTCACCATTTTACATGCATTGCCCCTCCGCTACTTGTTCACTCACTTCCTCATTAATTCCTTATTTAATAAATTCTTTCAACAGTTGTTTATAAGAATCTGTGCTATCCCAGACACTAGGTTAACTACTGATGAAAGATTGAAAGCTCTAGAAAGGGAAGAGACAGGACTTCCATCTAGGATAGGGAAACCACAAGGGAAGAAAAAATTCTGGGCTTTATGGAATCATGATGCAACCTGTTTAGTGGTCAACACTTTGTGGAGAGAAGCTAATAGGCAGAAGCTCATCTTCCCAAAACCCCAAGGTGTCAATGGTGTGAATGTGGATGACAAAGTCTGAGGTCTGAACTAGAACTGTTAGGTGATTTTCTAATACTTGGTTGCAGAGAACTTCAGCGTTTAAAGCATCTCTTGGATTTGGGACTCTGTTAACTGCTTTGTGGAGGATGGATTTTAGAATTCTAGGGAAAATTGAAGAAACAGCTTCTAGACTGAGCTTCTTGGAATGACTCCTAAAGCCACACAGCAAAATTGAGCCCCAAAGGAACCTCCATTCCCACCATATTAATCTACAGCTGGAGATCTGAGCCATCTCTACTATGTGCTGCACCAGCAAGGGTACTTCTTAACTTGCCCCCTACTTAACTCAGTTCTGAATCTGAGTTTCAAGCAAGAGCGTCTGATTTTCAGAAGGCTTCTTGGGGAGATGTAGCTTCTCTCTTTCCAGGAACAAAAGAAGGAAGGAAGCTATAGTGAGAGTGGATTGAACCAATCCACAGCCTTCCTCATAGGACATTAGTTGTAAATCAGTGATAAAATAGGTGCTGAAATGAAATCTAACCCTCTAAATTACCATCAGAATATACCGTTCTACTGGTGTTAAAAGCTTCCCCTTTAAAGGCTGGCTGAATAAAAGTATGCTAATGATCCATTCATTCCGGAATCCAGCTGAATCACAATTTTTGTGGCTAGGGACAAGGAATCTGTACTTTTTAAAATTATTTAGTAATCCCTCCAATCAGCCTGATTGAAGGCCTCTGAGAATAGCTAATTCATAATAAATGATTAATTCTTCCAGGTATATGTACATCTCAACAGAAGGCAGTTTCCTCAGAAGAGTAGATTATCTAATGTCAGAGTAAGACTGTTAAAGGAAGACAACTTTCTATTTCCATCAAATGAACCAAGTGGGCACCACTCATTTCACATATGTCAAATCTTCTCCCTAAGGGGGTTTTTGGAGCTTCCCCCTGCATTTAAACAAAAAATGCCAATACTATCGGTAACTAACAATAGATAGTTGCAAAGTTTCATCTCAAGAACTGAAATCAGACACACATGAAATAAAGTCTCTGTCCTCATGTTGCAGGAAGGGGGACCGCTCCCAGGGCCCGAAAGCGGGCTCTTGTCTAACACTCAGAAATGAGTTGTCCAAGGAAACACACGTGCTGACAAAGCAAGAGATTTTATTGGGAAAGGGCACGCAGGCGGAGAGCAGGAGGATAAGGGAACCCAGGAGAACTGCTCTGCCACGTGGCTTGCAGTGTCGGGTTTTATGGTGATGGGATTAGTTTCCAGGTTGTCTTTAGCCAATCATTCTGACTCAGAGTGCTTCCTGGTCGTGCATGCCTTGTTCAGCCAAGATGGATGCCAGAAAGAAGGATTCTGGGAGGTGGTCGGACATGAGGTGTCTCCTTTTGACCTTTCCTGAACTCTCCCGGTTGGTGGTGGCTTATTAATTCTGTGTTCCTTACTAGGACCTCCTGTCGTAAAACAACTCATGCACATGGTTATTATGGTGCCTGGCCATGATGGGTGGTTTCAGTTAGTGAAACACTAACACTTATAATGGTAACCACCTCACAGACTAGACTAACAGGTAACCAGACAGTCATAATAATTAGTTAGGGGTGCAAGTCGATGTCCCGATTTGGGGCTGGGGAGGAGGTGTGGACACAGTGAGAAGGAAATGTCGGCATGGATCCCTGCCCAGCATGAGGCTTCAGGAAGTCCTCTTGAGGAAAGTGTTGTCTCAGCTGAGATCTAAAGGACGAGCTGGCCAGGCACAGAGGCCAGGAAGATGCAAGCGTGCTTCAGGTGGAGGGACACATGTGCCAAGGCCTAGAGCCCTGAAAAAGCCAGACACGTTTGAAGAACTGAACAGTATTCAGCACGGCTGGAGCACAGAAAATGAAATGACTGATTCTGAAAGTGGTGGCCCTGTACAAGAGGAGAGCGAAGGAAGCAACATCAGCCAAAACCTTGGAAGAGCAGAGAGACCTGGCACAGACTGTCCAGGGATGGAGCAGCAACCATCCAGTGCCCAGAACTGGCAAGCAGCCTCAGCTAACTGGCTATGATTGAGCTGAACCGGCAGGAGTAAACGGTGAATCCAATAGGGCTGCAATGAAATCACTATCCCAGCTTCATGCCAAAGGAGCATCTAAGAAGCAAAAGCTTTCAGTGGCCTTGCTAGAGAAGCCTGAGCACAATTCTTACTTTAGGAGTCTGTATTTAGGAGCCTGCAGCACAGATCATGTCCTTAAACCAAGCACATTGGTAATACAACTGATCGTCTAGCCCATCAACACTGTATGATTCCTTTTAGTCTCCTTTCCCTTTCTTGCCTCTGATCCAGGCAAAAAGGACACTGGAGACCCATACACACAGACATACACACACATGTAAGTGCCTAGAAGCTCAATTATAAATGTCTTGTTCTCATTTATTCCTCCCACTGAGCCCTGCGCTCAGCCCTCCTGACTTCTGGTTCTCCTTTCTTTCAGCTCACCTGACCATCCACATTCAGCACCAACCTCCCCAGTTATGCCTTGACCACTCCCTCTCTTATCATGATTTGATTTTTTCTTCCAGCTGCTGCTGCTGCTGCTGCTAAGTCGCTTCAGTCGTGTCCGACTCTGCGCAACCCCATAGACAGCAGCCCACCAGGCTCCCCCATCCCTGGGATTCTCCAGGCAAGAACACTGGAGTGGGTTGCCATTTCCTTCTTCCAGCTAGGCAGTCTTAAAAGCTGCTTCGATAGACCCTCTTCCAGTTTAATCTGGAGAGTGTTTTGTGATGAAAAAATTATGTGTCTTGGATCCCTTCCTAGCTGTATGACCTTGAGCGAGTGATAACCTCCCTGAGCCTTGATTCCCTCACCTGTTAAATGGGAACAACAATGGCTGCATCAGCATTGCAGTGAAGATCAACTGGGAATCCCTACAATACCTTTACTGCAGTATCTGGCATATAAAAATGCTAGAAAAGTAGTGTTTGTTTTCTTTCCCCTCAGCAAAAGGAGTGTTTTCTCATGGCCACCAGTCTGAAATTAGGTAATCATTATGATCATGTTTTCTTTTTTCACTTCCCCAAGTTATGTTGAGAAAGCAGATAAGTAGCAATTGTTTAGAGTTTCTTGCATTTTTAGCTTTTCTAAGAATAACCATTGCAGCACAAAGAATAATGCATATTTGATTTCTCCCAAGCTTGCTCTCAGAGAGTTTGGTGTTTTAATGTAATCAGTTGTTTTGCCATTTCCTTGTTTCTTTGTTTTGCATACTTTCATTCTGCCCAGAATTTATCTTTAAATTATCACAATGGCAATGATGAGTGGAATCTCAGCACAAAGAGTTTAAACATTATTCAGTAATGCCATGACTGTAGCCCATTATTCTAATGATTCTCCACCAGAGGTGGCACTTCCCTGGCAAAAGCCATTTGGAAATGTGGGGAGCATTTGGGGTTGTCATAGTAATCAAGCAGATACCATTGACAGCAAAAGGAGCTGTTTGCAAAACAATCTGCAACGTGCAGGATTTGTCCAGCCCCAAATGTCTATAATAGTGAGCCATTGAGAAATACCATATAAAGCCCAATGAGGCCACACAGAGAAATTCTGGGGGAACTGGGACTAGACACTAGGATTATTTTCATCCAGAGCAGCTTTTCAATTTAAAAAAGGTCTTTAATATATTTAACAGACATGTAGCAGATATGAATTTAGCTCTTATTCTATGAATTAAGTGGACAAAAACTGTCATAGTACTTTATTTTCTCTAAGTCAAATTTGAATCCCAGCCTCATCCCATTGGCCAGGTGGGAAATTCAATTCCAGTCATTATCAGAGTTTCTTCTCATTCTCCAGGACTAGGAAAGGTCCTCAAAGTTCTTAGAAATAGCAGAATACTCTGGGAGCTGCTTCACTCCTCAGAGTCAGGCAGCTCTACTATGATGGGTCTTGCTTGGCCATGGGACCCCAAAGGATGCTGGAAGACCAAGGTCTAAACACATCTCCATGGGTGAACCTTGACCATCACCCTGAGGTCTTGACTCCCCAAGGCCTCATTAAGGGATTAGCTTCTAGCCTCACAGAAGCTCCCCAACTTCCTCTAGTTAGAATTTATTCTTCTCTCTGTCCTTCTCACTTCTGCCCCACCCCCAAAAAGAACTTACCTCCCCATCCTCGCTTTTCAGGGCCCATCTAGTATTATCTCCCCAATAAACTTTGCAGTAAAGCTAGAAGGGGGTTCTCCTTCCAGGCAAAGACAAAAGAGTGGAAAACACATTATTTTATCTATTCTAAGATGTAAATCTTTTCCTGCCTCTGAACATCTCTGAAAGTCTGAGGCATCACTATTGATGCCATCTTACCATTGGTCATTGGCAGTCAAGACACAGGTAACACTTCCTGTGCATGTCCAAATTGATTGTGGCTCCAGATAGCAGGTCTGGACACCTATAACCCTTTGACCTATCAATCAACAAATGATTGAGGACCACCTAAGAAAGGGATGTGAGTCTTGATTGTTATCTGAAAACTTTCATTGCAATGACCTGATAAGATCAAGAAAATGTCAGCATCGAAACTTGTAGAATGAATGTCAGAGGTTTGGAAGAAAATCTCAGAGACAATGTTGGAGCTGTCTTCTAGGAAATGCTCTATCATCAACACTCTGAACAGCACAGAGGCTGACTCTATGTGGAAAAACATAGACACTGTTGATCACAGAGGGCTCTGAGTTGAAAATGATTCACGAGGATTGTGCATTGTATGTGAAGAGGTTTTAAGACCATCCTAGACCATTTTTTGTCAAAATTTTCTTTTTGATATATCCATTAGAATTCCATTATAGTGATACATGTTCAAATCGTTGTCTCATAAAGACTAACAGTCTTTTATTTTTTTACAAATATAACAGTAAAATTCTAATGACAAGCATGTGTCATAGCTTAATTAGTAACATGATGTTTTTTTCCTTAGTGAAATGAAAAACAGTGGTACATCTTAAAATCAATTGCATCTTAAATTCCAGGAGATAAGGTACCAGGAGAAGAAAACACAAATGAAGACTTCATTAGATGATTCAGCAACACACTGCACACCGACTGAGAAAGAGCAGACTGTAGTCTGTAATTTCTAGATTCTAAGCCCCTGAGCTCCCAAAGTATTGCTTATGAAGAGCAAAGACAGGGCTGTGAGCTCCAACATGGCAAGTCCTTGGCAAAGGTGGCAAGGACCTATCCATTAAGTGGCCTCAGAAACCCTGGAAAGATGTCAAGTGGACTAGTTCTCAAGGTGATGGTTATCCTTTCTGAACACCACTTAATGGCTCATGCCTTCCCTGATCATACATCCATTTGGAACCTGCATGATTGGTGCCTGACATCCTGAAACATCTTTTGTATCTGCCTTTCTCCTAAGCCTTACAAGCATAAGAGGCACAGACTTCAGAAAGGACCCAAACAGATCTGCTTTCACATCCCAGCTTTCGGATGTATTAGTCATGTGTTGTGGACAAATCGCTTAATCTTGTTGGGGCTCTCTCCCTCCCTTCTTTCCTTCCTTCCTTTTCTCTCTCCCTTCCTCCCTTCTTTCTTAAACAGATACTATGTGTCAAACACTATCCTAAGCACTTCGCAAAACAAAGTCATTTAATTCTCAGAACCATCTATAAAGCAGAAACCACTATCTTCACCATTCTTATTTACAGACAGGGATATTTTGGCATGAGGGTTTTAATAAACTCACCTGTGCCCACACAGCCAGTAAGTGGCTGAATGAGGATTCAGACTCATATTCTGTGGACTTCCTTCCTACCCTCTGATACACTGCCACTCTTGTCAGCAAAAAAATAATAACCAATAACCATCTCTGGGTTATTGGGGTGCTTAAATAATAGAAATAGATTCCCTGGCAAATAGTGAGGCTTTAATAAATGACAGTCATCAATTTCATTCTCCAAGCTGCTAGTCCTTTAATTCAGATAGAGAATAATAATAAATTCTACTTGTATTATTATACAAGTTTAGAAAATGTTTTCGCCTTAATCATGCTCATTGGTCCTTATAACAGTCATACAATCCACTGTTTTGATGATAATAATGTTAACATATAGTACTTTATGTGTCCCGGGCATTATTCTGTATGTCATGCATTTAGTCCTAAACTGACTTAGTTCTACAGCTCTGTGAAGTTAAGTATTAATACTATAATTATCCACATCACTGACTCAGAGGGGTGAAGTAATGTGCCCAAGGTCACACAGTTAGTGGAGCTGGAATGAAGCTCAGAGTCTGGTTTCAGACTCTGAGCTCTGAACCTCTGCTCTGGCGGGGGGTGGGGGGAGGGTTGGGGTCCAAATATGAGGCAATTCAAGCTCTTAAACCCTATGATGAGTAACAGAGTCAGTAAGTGACAAAGCCACAACTCAAACCCAGGGCAATCTGTTTCTAGTGCCCCCAGTAGTGATTTTTTCTGACCCTGCTACCTGCACATCCAAGTGGCCTAAGGGAAACAGCCTTGAGTTGACAGTCTGGACACACGGGTTCTAGTCCTGCCAATGAAGTAATTGGTCAACAGCCAAGTGGCCTTGGACAAATCCCTTTGCCTCTATATCTGATTTAAAGCATAAGGGAGTCGGGACGGAGTCAAGATGTTGGAGTAGGAGAATACAGAGTTCACGTCTGCTCACAACTTGGCACCTATTAGGCACTGTTCTCGGACAACTGAGGAGACAAGAGGAACACCCATGAGACCAGGTAGGATGTGGGAGGGAGGGAAGAAAAGTGGGGACAATGGATGAGAACTTCTAAGGGGCTGGCAGGCAGGCTCTTTACCACTAGTGTCACCTGGTAAGGCCAACATATGTTTTAATAACCATGTTTGTTTTTCTCTTTTTGACTTACTTCACTCTGAATGACAGACTTTAGGTCCATCAACATCACTACCAATGACTGAATATCATTCATTTTTAAAAAATCTTTTGTGTGTGTGTGTGTTGAGGTATAGCTGATTAACAATATTGTGATAGTTCCAGGTGAAAGCAAAAGGACTCAGCCAAATATACACATGTATCCA